GAAAGTGTGTCAGATCACTCTGGATTCAAAGCAGTGGTTTGTGATTTCTGGACAAAGTGGAGTCATAGGAGAGCAGATGATGGCGCTGCCTAAACAGATTAAATGGAAGCACCACTAATTTCTTCAAGTGGTTATCAAATAAGAGATGGAAGTGATCTCCAGACTGAGGTGCTGTATGCTGGGGCTTGTAATTCCCAAAATGGCTGCTGCGACTTCTGTGGATGATGTAAATATTTGCATCAGCATTCTGCTTTCAGTATATGTGGAACTCACATTGAAATTCAATTATAAAAGTGCCTGAGTTAATTCAGCAATTAGAGAATGAGTTTGCATATGATTTGCATGCTTAATGTACAGACACCTCAAATGTCCCCATGACCCCAGCTTCACCCACCCGTCCCCACCCCTACCCCCCAACCCTTGCCCCGCAACCCATGGTGCCCCCAGCTCCTGCCATGTCTGTTCAGGCTTTTCTGAAAACTGCCCATTGAGCTTGGCCAAGGTGAACCTCAGCTAAGTGATGACAGGGCTAACGTGAAGATTGGATGCTTGCTTTGGGTCGTCAACATCAGCGGACACTGGATCGAAGGATCTTTTGAGGTCAACCAGCTCCTTTTGTATCATTCCACAAAGTTGTGTGCCAACTTCTGTTGTTCCGTTAACAGTGTTACCTGTGACTTAAATGTACAACACCTGTTTGCTATGTTGTTGTTGCTTTATCAAGGGAGGGGGGAGAAGAGGGGAAAAGGTTAATGGGGGGAGATTAGAGGATGATTTGCTAGATGTGGGGAGAGCTTTTAGTTAAGAACTCACAGCTGCATGTTTCCAGAGTTTTACCTTATTTAAAGGTTATTACACTCAGCTTCAAAGTAATACTGAAATTCGCATATTCTGCATTTTTAATTTTATACTAGTTTTTTTAAGAGCAGATCACAGCCAGCTGAAATAAAGACTGGAGAGATAATAAAGATCCAGACACTTGAGAGAGAAGGAAAAGAAAAGATCAAAATAGGAAGTCAGAGGAAAACTTATTCCTAATTAATTAATTGCAATCAGTTATTGCTTTCACGAAATAACAGTTTGTATAAACATGAAGAAAAAACTCAAGAATGAGTCAGGGATGGGTCATAAAACATAGGATTTTTGTTTAAAAATGCTAAAATAAGTATTCCAGGTAAAGCCTTAACAATATCAACAGACGGGAGATGGGAGAACGGAGCCCTGTGAGAGTAAATCAGAAACTAGAACAAAACTAACACACAGAGTAGCTCAGGGCAGAGCGTAAGAGACGAGCGGAGGGGTTCTGACTGGTCACACACTCTGGTGAGAAGCCAAGGAGATACTACAAGGGCTCACTTTGCTCTTCCCGTGGTTGGGAGTCACCAATCTTAAGGAGAAAAGCTTCAGGCTCTCTGCTTCATGAAAAGGCTTGTGCATTCCTCTGCCTCTATGACAAGGCCTTTGCATTCCTAAGGGGCTCTAGAATTCTTTTGTTTTTTAAAGCCAGTTCGAAAAATCCAGACGGCAAAGCCTGTGCCTAACCCTTTCCAGTAATGACAGCCACCTCATATTCCTCCTAATGTAAGTCCAAACTGCACAGAAAAAAAAGTGGAATGGTAGTCGTCTTCCCCAGAACACACATCCTATTTAAGCTATTCCTGGAGACTTGGGGCTCTTAACCTTTTGAACTTTCTAGAGCATTTCAAAGAATTTAATGAAAGTTATGGACTTTTTTCCCCAAAAACATACACCTACATCCAAAATTTGGCATTCTTATCCCAGACTTCTTGAAAATCCTCCTTAAGAAATCCTAGTGCCAACCTGTTTGCCAGTACTTCTGTGGAACTTTGTCTCTAGCCAAGGTTTTATTTGGTTTTGGAGCTCATGAGACCTCTTTATACTCTTCCAGCTCCTGAGAAGGGTAATTTCTCATAATTCTGTAAGACCAACCAAATCCAGGTTAGAAGAGAGTGCCTTTGGAAATCTGCCTGTTGTCTAGATTGAGTTATGTCCAACAAAGAACCAAATCTTGAACAATCAGAATCTTTACGAGGGAAAGGAGTCAGAAATCTCCCAACACGGGCCTTTGACTTTATAGATGCTCATACTAAACCATGACAGTAATAAAACATATCGAGGTTAACCTCATGGAAAATGATAATTAAAATGATAGAATGTCCTTCTGTCTTAGGTCTGTCTTTGTGGACATTTATGTACTATATGATATACCAGCGTATGGGAATGTGCTTATATTTGTGATTAGGATCCTCAAGTACATGCATGTGCATGTATGACCAAACCTGGTATTTAAATATTTATTCTTCATTCATGCTTTAGGTTTTCTGAGGGAGCTGGCTGAGTATATCCAAGACAACCACGGTAGTATTGTATTGATGCAAATGAATTCAGAGGAGGGAAACTACGTATCATCCACTAGTATATTTTTCTTCTAAAATTCTGTTTAGTGTCACACCTACTGTATCTTTTCTCCAGAGATATAAAATTATTCAGAGTACATGGTACATGTCCTAACTGGGAACTGAAATCGATGGAACTGTGTATTCTGAATGCAAAAGCAGTTCAAACTAAAAATTTCGAACAGTCAAGTTTAAAAACAGAAAAGTCTTTCAAAGATTGTATGTTCTTTTCTGTTGGAACAGAAAATTAGTAAATCATTTATGAATATATTCATGTTTTATTTTAAAATTACTTATCTTAGGGTGTCATTCGAAAAATAGAATAGGTCAACTTCTTTCATACCTCAAAGATTAACTCAGCTTTGGGAAATATGATGCTAAGACATATAAAACCATAACAAACCTATAATATACATTTGCACATGTACAGCACACGGGTATAAGATGAGCTCAGGCCAGCTGTAGGGAATGAACTTGGCCTACTGCTCATGTTACCTCTAGAATAAATGTGATTTTCAGACAGGAGACTGGGGAGAACCTTCCATTACCTTGCGACCTCCAAACGAAGCCACAGCCTCAACTCCAGTGCAGTACTGGCAACACCACCCGGAAAAGCTCATCTTCCAGTCGTGTGATTACAAAGCTTTTGTAAGTTACCCAGAATGCAGTACTTGGGTACCAGCAGGGATAGAGGGTACATTTCTAACCTGTTTACTTTTATATTGAAGGTATCCCCAAATGTCCATCACTGAAATTCCTAAAATGTTTTCCCCTTCTCTTTTTTTCTTAAAGTAGCCTTCTCGCCACAGAGAAAGTCCAAATAAATAGAGCTTTATAACCCTTTTAATCTTGTAAGCTGAAGGTCTGTTTTGTCTTCTTATATAGTTGTATATTTTAAATTAAATGTGATAAACTGCTATCTTAAAATGGAAATGAGTATAAATACAGCACATATATACATTTCCACTTAAAAAATCTCAAAACGTTGGGTCTACTGCTCTATATAAATACCAGATTCTTTTCATTGTCATCATTTGGATTATATTACAGTACTGGGGTTTTTTTTTTTTTTTTTTTTTTTTTTTTTTTTGGAAATAGGAGAGAGAATCAGGCTTAGCTGAGAATTGTGAATGATATGAACAGGTAAATGTTCAAAAGAGACCATTGGTTTGGGGGCAGGTGGTTGTCATGACTACAGCGGGGAAAGTGGCTGAACCCAGGACAGAGCATTGAAACTGTCTCTCTTTAAAATAAATGTTTCAATCAGGACAAAGTTTCCTGATACCTTAAAAGATAAGGATTTCACCATGATCATTTTCCTTAATTTGATGATGTGGATGTTCTGATTATCTCACAGCCATTTAGGCTTTTTTTTTCATTTTGTGCTATCTGCACCTCTTTAACTGCTTATATCTTGAAGCATTGGACTCATTTCAATAGTGATCTTCCCAAGACTGTGGGATTGAAATGCCTCCCTCCTCCAAGGCTCAAATGCCAAATCCCTGAGCCTTTCTGAGCGTGCCTTTCTTGGAAGGCTTTGACCAAACCCTCTGCTACTGTGCCCTTGCACAACCTCTTCAAGTCAGGGACCTCCCGGGTCGGTAGGACTGATTCCCAACCCAGTTTTTGCAGAGTGCCAGGGTCTCCTCAGTCATGTCAGAAATAATTTTTTTTTTTTTTTTTTTTTTTTCTTTCATTATGCGGGCCTTCCACTGTTT